ACTCAGTCGGTGTGATATGGCTCAACCATGTAGACGTGGTCACTCTATGTTCAATACCCAGCCTAATTATGTTCTTCAGTGGTCCTAAACAGCATATCGCCAAATGGCATGATAAGGGGGGTCGGTAGAGAAAATGATGTGACTTCCATGTATGATCTTATTGACTGGATAGCCTTATCATGGCCAACCTACAATTTGGAGATTATATCCACTATTCTTATGTCAAGGATAAATGCATTTAGTACCGACCTAGACAAAAATCTCACAATTTATTGTGAGACTCCAGATGTTCACTAATAAATGAACGTTTAACAACGTGTAAACTTTAGTATCACTCTGTTGAAAATCTCCCCTTCTTATATGGGTAGCGTGTAAATTCGTTGTGCATATGTTTGGGCTTCAAAACTAAATGAACCTAATTTTAACTTGTCATTTGATATCGCTAATCTCTCAAACTGGCGGAGGCCAGTTCTTGAACTTTTACACGCTTGCTCAGAATTCGAGTGAGATGGTGTACCCTAAGGTTTGTCGGTACGTCAAGTTGGAGAGTGTTTTCTGTGACTTTGATGCGTGACGTGAAAAGCATAATCTTGTAGTGGCGTTGAACCTTAACCACACTACATCTGAAGCCAAGCATATAATTACTGAAAAGACTTGCATTCAACAATTGACACGAAGACAAGTTTAATAGTGGAGAACGTGAGAACATTCATTCAGTGAGATGACATGGTTCAGCCTTGCAGACGTGGTCATTCTGTATAACTTGTCTTTACTCACATCAAATATATTGTTTTATCTCTAGCCTAAATGTGTTCTTTACAAACACCAAACGTCATATCAGGGATTGTTGCGATACGACGAGTCCGAATACACAATGATGTGACTTTCACGTAGGATCTTATAGACTAAGTTTTCATATCATGACATATCTACAATTTTAGGATCAGGTCTATTATTAGAATAATACTAATATCGAATTAGACCATAATTCTAAAATCTCACACAGGTACTTGCTCATCAAGGACCAAGTCTGTAGTGGTTGTACTCTATAAAAGCTAAAATAATATGCTAAAGACCGTTGTTAGATTTCCCCTTACTCCTCTGAAGCTAACCGAGAACAAACACAATAGTGGAAGCTAGTTTTCATGAGTACTAGTGCTCTATGTCTATCACACATTTTGTTGTGCGCAGAATTTCTGTGATATTTTTCGAAATTACACCTACACAGTAATTTAGCTGACAGTGCTGGTATGCCGGAACTTTTTAAATAGTATGAATATCAGTTAACTCCTCCTGTGGCTCCTCATGAGTTACTGCCGGTCCCAAGCCCGGGTAAAGGAGGAGGGTTGGGCATGGGGTTAGCGTCCCCATCCCGTAGAAAACTAACTCGCTAAAAAACGCTTACCAGAAAAAATTATTCAAACCTTTTTAACTCTGCCCTGGGAGTTAGAAGGTCTTCATTTAGAAGAACTATGACGCCTCATGATGGAAGCCGAGTTCCTTCAGAAGCCACGAGGCCGATGCCCTTCTAACAACCAGAGTAACAATTTTTTGTAGGTACATGAAACGTCCGAACAATGTGGGAGACCGGGAAGACCAGTCAAATAGCAACGGAAATGAGGAGATACAATTTGGCAGTACTGGGAATCAGCGAAACCCACTGGACCCAAGCTAGACAGAAAAAGCCAGCTACGGGAGAGATGCTGCTATACTCCGGTCACGAAGAGGAAAATGCTCCACACACTCAGGAAGTCGCTCTAATTCTGTCCAAAGTAGCACGAAATGCACTTGTAGGATGGGAATCTCACGGATCCAGAATCATCAAAGCATCATTCAAAACAAAGGAGGAGGGGATCACAATGGATATTATCCAATGTTATGCTCCCACCAATGATAGCAACGACGACATTAAAGATCAGTTCTACGAGCGGCTGCAGTCAATCATAGAGAAATGCCTTAGAAAGAACCTCACCATTCTAATGAGAGATATAAATGTCAAAGTCGGAATAGACAACACCGGATATGAAGATATCATGGGACGAAGTAAACTGGGAGAGAGAAACGAAGATGGGGAAAGATTTGCAAATCTTTGTGCATTCAACAAATTGGTCACAGGAAGCACAATATTCCCATACAAACACATACACAAAGCTACATCGAAGCAGCACACACAGACCTTCCTATAGATGTCACTCCACCAACGACCGAAGAAATCAGGATGGCCATCAAAAAACTCAAGAGCGGTAAAGCAGAAAAACCAGACAATACACCTGCTGAAACACATAAGTCAAACATAGAAGTAACCAAGAAAGCGCGCCACAAGCCAATCAAGAAACTTCTGGAGGAAAAACAAGTGTCAACTGACTGGAAAGTAGGCCACCTCATCAAGATTCCAAAGAAATGAGATCTGAGCAAATGTGAGAACTACAGAGGCATTACACTACTGTCAATACCAGGGAAGGTCTTCAACAGAGTGTTGCTGAACCAGATGAAAGATGCAGTAGACGCCCAACTTCGTGATCAACAAGCTGGATTCCGTAAGGACAGGTCGTGCACAGCTCACATCGCAACACTACGGATCATCGTCGAACAATCAGTTGAGTGGAACTCGTCACTATACATCAACTTCATTGATTATGAAAAGGCATTCGACAGTGTAGATAGGAGGACGTTATGGAAACTTCTTCGACACTACGGAGTTCCTCAGAAGATTGTCAATATTATCCGGAACTCATACGACGGACTACAATGCAAAGTCGTGCATGGAGGACAGCTGACAGACGCATTCCAAGAGAGAATCGGAGTCAGACAAGGCTGTTTATTCTCTCCCTTCCTCTTTCTTCTGGTGGTCGACTGGATTATGAGGACCTCCACTTTTCACTGGAAGTACGGAATATAGTGGACAGGTTTAATGCAACTATACGATTTGGACTTCGCAGATGAACTGGCCCTTTTATCTTATACACACGAACAAATGCAGATGAAGACAACTAGTGTAGCAGCAGTCTTTGCACCAGTAGGCCTCAACATACACAAGAGAAAAGCGAAATCCTCAAATACAACACGGAGAACGCCAACACAATCACACTTGATGGAGAAGCTCTGGAAGATGTGAAATCTTTCACGTACTTGGGAAGTATCATCGATGAACAAGGAGGATCGGATGTAGACGTAAAGACGAGGATTGGCAAAGTAAGGGCCGCATTAATACATATGGAACATATGGAACTCAAAACAACTGCCAACCAATATGAAGGTGAGAATCTTCAATACCAGCGTCAAGGCAGTTCTATTGTATGGAGCTGAAATTTGGAGAACTACAACAACCACCATCAAGAAGGTACAGGTATTTATAAACAGCTGTCTACACAAGATACTCAACATCCATTGGCCGGATACCATCAGCAACATCCTTCTCTGGGAGAGAACAAACCAGCTTCCAGCTGAAGAAGAAATTAGGAAATGACGTCTGTGGTGAATAGGACATACATTACGCAACTCGTCAAACTACATCACGAGGTAAGCCCCAACTTGTAATCCTGAAGGGAAGCGTAAAAGAGGAAGGCCAAAGAACAAATTGCGTCGGATAATAGAAGCAGATATGGAAAGGATGAATAACAACTGGAAAGAGCTCGAAAGGGTTGCTCAATACCGGGTTGGATTGCGAATGCTGGTGAGCGGCCCATGCTCCTTCACGAGGAGTAACAAGCGTAAGTACGTAAGTATGAATAGCAGTTGAGAGACGAGTAATGCAAGCTCTCTGTGATGGACATAGAGTGTAGAACAGGTCTTAGCTACACCTTCTAAATAATCAACATTTTTTCCAGTCTTTTTGCTAGTAGTAGGTTTAGGTAAATCTGGAATAATGCAAAGAACATACATTTTCAATTGTGCTGAGTTTGTGTGTTTAAACACATGACGCGCCGTTTGGGTAGGTCTAAGTTTAGGCAATCTACCAAACGATGTTTGGTCCTTTAGTAACTTTTTTATGAGTTTTCCACTAAATTGCATTGATTTGCATAGTTGAACGTCAACACAACAAGGTGGATTGTGAACATCTGAAAGATCTTTTGCTAAAATAAAGGTACGATAATGACTGGGTTTAGCTCATACAGATTCGCAAATGTTGAAGCCTTATAGTTTTTGAATATTCAGCTGTATCTGATAAAGGATACTCAGACCTCAAGCTAGTTTCGAGCCAAAGCTTTTGCAGGTTAATAAAACTAAACTGCCATTTCCTCACTGTGAGAACTGTGCTTGATGTGACGTCGGGCGTCTTAGAGAAATAGAAAGAAAACAGAGTGCTATCTACTACTTTCTAGTTCTAATAGCTCATTCAGCTGCCCCCATGCTAAAGAATGGTTGATGATATGTGGTCTAGAACTATACTATGCCTAGTGAAGATTTTTTTATTGCCGTGCTTCCCCATAAGAATACTGATCAGACTTTCCATTCTTTTTGTCATCACTGGACGTAATGCAGCCGACGTTAAGCAGGTTGCATCACTTGAGTACAAGAGGTAGACAAGATTCTATATTGGGTTACGCGCTATCCACACTTCATATCTCTTCATATACTTAGATATTTCATTTCAAGAAATACAATCAATTTTTTCACCTCACAGTTCGCTAAGTCTCCCAAGTAAAGTTAAAGTTGATGAGGTAATCGTCTTCAAATTAAGAATTTTGCATTTGACATGTTCTTGTTCTTCTGATCCTGTAAGACTGGCAATACACATGGACACCCTCACAATTGTCACAAACTGAGAACCGGTTTCTTGATATCTGCGGCCAACTGTAAGTTCATATCTACATGACTAACCACAACCTTTCCAAACTGAAAGTAAACTAACTCCCAAATAGCCGATGATTTCACTTGAAATATCAGAACCAGGTAGTAAAGTTAGTTCAACTGCATGCTCATAAAGACCTCGAACCGCTTCCTAACACTAAACAATCGTTACTGGTCTATAATAAGACCTGGTGTTTTAATTTGCAGATGTCCTTGGCGGGTAATATGAGTGACTTGAAGCCCAAGCTTGCCTTCTCATTTCTTCAGCGGAAAAAGCAACTAGTTTATAATCCTAAAGTTACATCTTTGGATGCAAATAATGGCGAAGTTACTATTGAAGAGAAAAAGGAATTCATCACATCAATTGAAGATAAAATAATGCATGTATATGTGTGTTGTTAATTTATCACTTTAGTTGTTCAACTGCAAAAAAGGAAGAGCAACTTGTCATACCATTAAAGCGTAGTAAAAGCAGCTTCCAGGAGCGGATGAGAAAGAATTTCTTACCAGCTGAGTCCTTAGACCCCCTTACGCTTCAGGCGTTGCAAGAAATTAAAGAAGGTATTTTATTGTTTCTCAGTAATTTTAAATATCTAGAAAGCCAAGCATTTTCAAGTAATTCACAAAATGTTCATGTAAATTATGATCTTAAAATACCTGCCAATAGTTCTGAAACCACCGAGGAAGTATGATCCTTTAATATTTTTACCACCAATTAGACTGAGAATGCAAACTATGATGCTATCCCTATTGAAAAGTTTGGTGTAGCTCTGTTGGCTGGAATGGGTTTTGACCCAAAATCTCTTGATAGCTCTAAAAGGTATTTTTTGTTTCTTAGTATATTACCTCATAGAGAGGTTTTACTACCTCAGCGACCAAAGGGACTCGGGCTAGGCGCAGACCCAACTGCAGTTCAAGATGCTAAACAAGAATTACTGAAATCTAAAATAGAAAAACCAACATGGGACCCCGGAGCGCGTTGTCAGATCGTATTAGGAAAAAACAAGGGTCTTTATGGCACGGTTAGTGAAAAAAATGTTTCTGATTTATGTTATTTCGTCAGATAACTGGTTTTTACATACTGAATCTCAGTTACATAAGTCCACTTTAGTAGTTGTACTTTTGAATAAGTAGTTGTAAGTTGTAAAATAGGCAACATCTCAGAGCACGGTGTAATAGCATTGTGCACAGTGGGTAAGTTTAGTTGATTCTTGTAAAAATTATAACTAAAAATGAAAAACTTGTGTAACTAATTTCGGCTATATCTTTTAATAATAATGAGAATAGCTCCATCGATACAATGGTATTTTCCACCTTACATAATGCCATAAATCCCCGAGCAGGATCTAAGTGTAGTTATCAATCTTTGCGTTCATTTTGATGTACTTAAATAACTCAGCTTTCAGTCTTCAAGAATCAGTAGCCATCCTTTGTCCACTTGAAGCTGTAGTTAGATTCCAAGCGGGAATCTCAAACTTTTCAAGTGACTTAACAGTTTTGTAAAATCTTATAATTGTAGTACACATAAATACTTGTTGCGTCCCTTTATACATCTACTTCAGCGTGATTGATGTAAAGGACACTCACAAAATGTTATCAATCATAATTCACGACTTCAGTGTCGGATTATGAAAGCCTGAACACATTTTCAACCCTTCAGTCATCTTATTTGTAGCGCAGTCAATGTTTCAGTTTTAACCTGTAACGAGCATGTATCATGATTACTTACAATCTTAATGGCCCCTAAATACCCTGGTGCGGCCGAGGGTGAGGAAAGCCCGCTCTCCCTCTTGAAATGCTCCCACATGGCCACGCGTATATAGCCTCTGCCAGGGAAGTCCTATTCACTGCCTTCTCGCAGCTGGGTGTTGTTTACGAAAATGAGAGGACGAAAAACGAATGTCAGGAGCTTTAACCGGATTCCAAACCAATGGTGCACAAGGGCTCCAGTATGCTGCGGGAACAAATGGCGTATGAACCAATTGTTGGTCACCGGCTTCCATGGGACTGCATCTCCTTACGATGTTCCACTGACTTGTGGGGCGGACTTTCAGGTCGAAGGCTCGGGGAGTGGCCCCCTGAGAAAACCACCTGCTTCGGTTTAGGCACCCGGGCAGTATCACAGCCCTCACACATATCGAATGTGATCTGTGTGGCGCATATGTATTTGGTGCCTCCTTGTACCAATATCTACGTGTTAAAATAAATAAATAAAGCCCGCTCTCTAAATGCTCTCACATGGTCCTGCGTATACAGGTACTCCCAGGGAAGTCCTACTCACTGCCTCCTGGCAACTAGGTGTTGTTTACGAAATTGAGAGGACAAAAAATTGTCCGACTCTTTAACCGGGTTGGTGGGTACGGAGGATCCACTTCCGGGAGTTGGAAAACCCTGATTCCAAACCAATGGTGCACGTGGGCTCTAGTATCCTAAGGAAAAAGGTGTATAAACCAATAGTTGGTCACCGGCTACCATGGGACTGCATCTCCTTACGATGCTCCACTGACTTGTGGATTAGACTTTCAGGTCAAAGGCTCGGGATGTGGCCCTCTAGGAAAACCACCTGCTTCGGTTTGGGCACCCGGGCAGTATCACAGCCCTCACACAAATCAATGATAACTGTTACCCGCCTCATTGTAATTGTGTGGCACATATGTATTTGGTGCCCCCTTGTACCAATTTTTATGTGTTTAAATAAGTATACTGTATAGGTTTCATTCGAAAATGATGGGATATGATTTACTATGTCTAGAGTAAGCACTTCCCGTCCTAATTCTTATTATTTTACAAGAGGTTATGAAGATTTATCACTCAACACGCTTTCACTCATTGTCTATCAGGAATATTGGATCACCATTTCAGTTCGAATTTATTATAGATATACTCTATGATTCCCTAGAGGTCAAACCCCCTAGCTAGCTACCCGTCGCAGATACAGTCTTTGTGGTTCAGGTTCTCTAGATTTTGGAAGTTAGTAATTATTGGTTCCTCTTGTAGACATGGCCAAACCACTCAAAAAAGGCGGCTATATATTAGTGTCTAAACTCGTAAGTCACAGACTTCTTGTTACTACATACTTGTCCGTCCCTTGTTGGTTTCCTGTCAATTATTGTTTTGGTTTTCTATTTTGCTCATTCACTCTGTTCATGCTGTTGTAGTTTACGCTAGCTTGAGTGATTTGTTTTTATATTTGATTCCACATAGTTTCGTTCGTTTATTTGTATGGATACCTAAAGTACAAACTAGTTTGTGATGGGCTTTGATATTTCGAAAGTTTATTTTCTTCCGTACACTTTTTCCATTTCCATTTTCTGCTATTTGAGTGATAAAATATGAGCTGTTAAATTTATTTGAACCTCGGTTTTATAGATTTTTAAATTCATTGAAATCAATATTGGTGCATACATCTTTAATGATGTAAAATTACCGAATAGAATTTAAAGTCACACAGGACTTTATCTAGTTTCATTTTTCTGGTAATATGTTAGCTAGATTGAAAAAAGTACCGACGTTGGAAAATCTCAAGTTTTCAAAGTAACTGGAAAAGTACGTAAACATATCCTCGGAAAACACTACCACTTACGTCGGTTTCTTGTTTTACGTTAAGTGGGAGTATAATTTAAGAAGCTTCAAGGTAACCAGCCAAACTAATACTTAAGGTCTGGCTGTTTGTCTGAGCCACATACACTTCCTGGATAAGTTACTCACAATAGTTAGAATTGATGGCTTAGAATCAACCTTTGGAGTACACGTGCATTCAGTACATTTTTATTATGTCTGGAACTTCTTAATCCGGGTTTTAACTTCTTTCTCTTATCCTTTCCTTGTATTTTATTCATCAGTATAGATGTCATTGCTTATATTCTTGCTTTTTCTACTGTCGCGTTTTCTATTCACCATGATCGATGTATGACATTATTTGAATTAGTGAACAGTAATCTCAGACATTAAGTTGTCTATATCTTTTTCACTTCAGTAATTAAAAGGGAGCAAAGTCATTCTCAGGAAATTTAACGTCATATTTATATTTAATAAAGTGTATTTTCAGATGCAAAATGCCCGAGTAAAACTCACATCAATGGACAAACATTTTTGCTTGCCCATAGCACTATTTTTCTTCCTAAAGATACCGCAGTTTAAATAAAAGTACCAATACTTTGCTGATCACTACACCTATTATAATTGCCATCTTAAACGAAGGTGCGGAGGTAACATACCTAAAACTACTCACAAAACGGCTATATGTGACCGATCTCAACACAGTTTTTCTTTTGGAGTTGTGATCACGCTACTAGGTCTTCAAAACCACTTCTAATCCAGTTTCCTCTTCAGAGCCCTTAAAAGAATGTGTTCCATATTTTTGGCGAATAGCAATAACCACTACCGTGCCTTTAACATACTCGAGATTACCTTTATTTTCACGCTCCTCTATGAAATGTGTTGTATAAGTCTTACTGACCAACATATAAGTAGGTAAAAATCACTCACACCATTCTTATAAATCCTTATTTTGTTCTAGACTAGATTTCCTAAGTTTAACCACTTGAAATTTTAAAAAGCTTTTTTTCCTTTCTCACCATGGTTTTCTTCAATTTGATGTCTTTGAATGTACTTTTCAGGAAGTTAATTGTACTTATAATCGTGTCTTTCCAGAGGTTGTGACGATTAGTAGTCAAGGTTTTTCCGTTATGGTGAAACAACCTATTTTTAATTTATGTAAAATTTCCTTAAAGGATGATCATATTTGTCAGTTATTTGGTCTAGGACAAACTATGTAAAGATATCAGATATTACTTGTCACGAGATCGTTCATTTAAGACGAATATAATTATTATTAGAGGGAACCTTTTGTATTCTAATATCTTGAAAATCTATTTTCTGTTTTTTAAGAGAATATTTCCATTTCTCCCTAAATGTCTAGTTAGAAGGACTAGATGGAGACACTGGTCGTGTGATTATTAGATTAAAAGTTTCGAAAGAAGCAGTCACGGTACTTCAACATACTGTCCGTTTGGTTCCTATCAAAGAATATGCTGCATACTCAAATTGTATAAGTAAGTTTGTATTTTTGATCCATCTATGTATTTCAAGTATCCTGTTTCATATATTTCCTGACTGTATCATTCCAATAAAACCATTACTTGTTTGTGATTTATTTATAAACCCTTATTTCTCGTGTAAATATCTACCATCACCCATAACTTCTCACATAATTAAACTTATGAATATTCTAAAAGTATCAACATTTTACAGTCTACTAGATTTCATGTGAAAATCTTAACACTACTGATTTATCCAGTAGGTTTAAAATTGGTGGAATCTTTTGAAAGTGTACTGTATTATTATCATATAAACAAATGCATCGTCACACTGAATAAATTAGGTTAAAGTGTGAAGCAATCATCATTAAAGTGTTCATTTATTTAGCTGCTTTGCACATAACTATTTGCTACTGTGATAATATCAATTTAATCACGATTGACGGAGAAGATCGAGAAGATGTAAAAACCTTTACATATTTAGGCAGCATCATTGATGAACACGGTGGATCTGATGCAGATGTGAAAGCACGGATCGGAAAAGCAAGGGCAACATATTTACAACTGAAAAACATCTGGAACTCAAAACAACTGTCAACCAACACCAAGGTCAGGATTTTCTTTACAAATGTCAAGAAAGTTCTACTGTATGGGGCGGAAACCTGGAGAACTAAGAAAGCCATCATCCAGAAGAAACAGGTGTTTATTAACAGTTGTCTATGCAAAATACTTCAGATCCGTTGGTCGGACACTATTAGCAACAACCTACTGTGGGAGATTATTTATTTATTTATTTTAACACATAGATATTGGTACAAGGAGGCACCAAATACATATGCGCCACACAGATCTCATTCGATATGTGTGAGGGCTGTGATACTGCCCGGGTGCCCAAACCGAAGCAGGTGGTTTTCCTAGAGGGCCACATCCCGAGCCTTTGACCTGAAAGTCTAATCCACAAGTCAGTGGAGCATCGTAAGGAGATGCAGTCCCATGGTAGCCGGTGACCAACTATTGGTTTATACACCTTTTTCCTTAGGATACTAGAGCCCACGTGCACCATTGGTTTGGAATCAGGGTTTTCCAACTCCCGGAAGTGGATCCTCCGTACCCACCAACGCGGTTAAAGAGTCGGACAATTTTTTGTCCTCTCAATTTCGTAAACAACACCTAGTTGCCAGGAGGCAGTGAGTAGGACTTCCCTGGGAGTACCTGTATACGCAGGACCATGTGAGAGCATTTAGAGAGCGGGCTTTCCTCACTCTCGGCCGTACCAGGGCATTTGGGGAGAAATCAAACCAGATCCCATTGGAGGAAGAAATCAGGAAGAAGCGCCCGAAGTGGATAAGACACACATTGAGGAAAGCACCCAACTGCATCAAAAGACAAGCCCTCATATGGAATCCTCAAAGGCCAAAGGAAAAGAGGAAGATCAAAGAACACGTTACGCCGGGAAATGGAGATAAACATGAGAAAAATGAACAAGAATTGGATGGAACTAGACAAGAAGGTCCAGGACAGAGTGGGTTGGAGAATGCTGGTCGGCGGCCTATGCTCCATTTGGAGTGACAGGCATAAGTAAGTAAGTAAGTACTGTGATACTATCTGATTATTTACAACAAATTTTCTCTAATCTCTTGTGTATTGATAATTTCATATGTGGTTGCCCTCTGTTCAAAAACTAACTTGCTAGTTACAATAGTTAACCTTCAGCCACTAGCTTGTTAGTGTAAATCCCGCTCTCAAACTTTCACTTAGTCGCTAGACCCTTAGTTAAGTGCATAAATTTGTATTCGGCCACGAAATTGCATTAACCATTAAATTCGTTAATCTCATTGCTGTTGGAATTCCAAGCATGCTGAAGTTCATTTCAAGTGTATTCTTGAATTAGAATGAATATTGAGTTAAATTAGAGCTCTGTGTATAACTTTTGTAGGTTATAAAAAGGAAGTAAAGCCATGATATATCGAGATTACCTCTGTGACATATAGAATGATGTAGAAATAGAAATTAATGAACGAAATGCTTAACTTATGGCAATTTGTTGTATTGATTGGATAAAGGTATATAAGATCTATTTTTATTGCTTCAATAAACTCAAAGATTTATATGAGGTCATAAACCAATCAATTTTAGGCCACCATTGATAACCTGGAAGCACTAAACAGGCATTTTATTCTAGTGAGAAGCTGTGACCAGTGAAGTTTAACCATGTCGGATGTGACGCAGACAATCGAAGATTGTTGCGCAACACCGTGGACTTGTTGAAGCTAGACATTAACACCGTTGAATGTCGGCTCAGCGTTTGCGCGAGACCAAAGGTCCCATACCCAGTCCGACGTTTGGGATCGTGGACGCGCATTTCTTTGGGGTCCCATACTAGGAAAAATGGCCTTCTAGTACTTCCAGGTTTTCAATGGTGGTTTAACATTGATCAGTTCGTGATCTCAATCAAAACTCAACTATCTCCACAACCCTATAGTGAAGGTCAAAGATTTGAAGCAAAAGTACATACCATCGACGTTATACAGTGAATTAATAGATTTATATGCACAAATATACTAGAATATATCATACATTTTGCTTTCTATTTTTGAATTTAAATTCTTGATTTCCAAAATTTGGACCTGCTTTATCTATTTTTTTTTGCAAATATGTGAATAATTCAACCTCCTCTTACATGAAACGATGCTCAACGTACATACTTTCTTGATAATATCAATTCTAGACCAAAATCAAGTTGATGAATACAAAGCACGCGAAGCAGAACAGTTATTACTTAAATCTAATCATAATTCCGACTCTGACCCGCCGGGATCAAAATCGACTAGATATGAACAATCGACACATAGTGACTCTATTCGTAAAACATCGAATATCTCTAAAGAGGATAAACCACTAAAGTAATATTTACATTTTACATAACCACTAATTTTGTTAGTTTGTATATTTTTTGATGTCATATTATGATCATTTAATTTTTAACCAAAGTGAGGGTTGCTGTTGGTGAGGAAAAAACATTTGACCACACAAGGAACTAATTGGTCTGTTGGGAAACGTCATGTGTGAAATAACCAAATAAGTTCATATCTTTGAAATCACTAACTGGTCTTATCTGGGAGCGCTGAAAGACCGTTTCTTCATAGCATGGGACTCCTCATCATTGATCATCCACTATCCCACTCGTGAGAGTCGAACCCGGGACCGTAGGTCTCGCGCGCGAACGCCTAACCCATAGTTCATGCTTGTTTAAAATTTCTGTTTTACTGCTGTATGGCAGTTTATGTATCATTCATTAATAGTTCAGTTTAACTCGGTAACGAAATACAGGTTCATTTGCTTGGTTTTGAACCGCACTTTTCTCATATGTAGGGGCTCCTGATAATGCTGTCCAGTTGAAGAATTCAGATTTTGACGGAATAAATTTGAAATTCGCTATCAGTGGTTTACATTTAACCGAAAAACAGCTGGCAATCAAAAATTTAAACACTTGTATCATAATTGTTCCCACTAATTTTAATTCTGAAAGTGAATAGTAGTTTGGTTTATTATTTTGAGAGGAAGTCAAGCATATGTTGTTAGCTGTTATCGGAAAATACTTTCTCTACGTGACACAATTTTACATATAGAATTATATTACTTATAAGTAGCTATTATTCTATTGCTCAATTTTCTTGCCATTGTTTTATTCGTTGAGAAGACAGTGAATTGGTCTGCTCCACCGCAATCAATTCTGAGCCGTGTCACCCAACGTCTCCAACCATTGTCTACGACAATAGCGATGGCCCCAACCTGAGGTCTTACATCTATCAATACGGCGCAATCCAAAAGTTAATGACTCCATAGATCTTGATTAATTTTTAGTTAAATCTAAAAGCATTTTCTGACCTCATTCCAGCGATCCTATCCGGTTACTTAAATATCAATATCTACATATTATTACTAATTTCATACGTAATTGATGTAAATTATAGCATGATACTCAAATCTCTGCTTAGTTAGTGAATTGTACATAATCTAAATGACGTTTTTTGTAATGTACAACTAGAAATCTACATATCACTTTGCTGAAGATAATTCTTTATTAGAAGGTACGTTTCTTATAGCAACCGTAAAGTGACTGTGAGAATAATAATATAAAAATCATATAGGGGGATGCGGTTGTGCTGTATATTGTGAAATATTATAACTGTTAACTCATTAGTAACTAAACTTAATGTTTAATAATAATCGATACGGTTATTTCGACTGCTTTTATTTTGCATCTTATGAACTTCCCTTTACTGTAGTGACATGAGATTTAGAGACTTGGGCTGATATACATTTTTACCAGGTGTTACATCGTTCTTAATTAACTGATTACTGTAGTTTAATTAGCTGGTTATTATCATTAGTCGTCAAAGTACTTGAACTCAAGTGCACGAACCTACTTAGATTTGGCGACTCAGTTGCTTATTCATAATTATATCATTTAGTGTTTTCTTAGATTGTCGAAAATATAGTTCTTCTTCTTTTTATATATACGGATGTTTTCTTTCCGCTTCTGTAGATGTGAACCAAATAGACCATCTGGTAGTATATCTTGGTTAAGACCGAAATTAATTGTTCGATGTTTAGATCGAAATTATTGTGGTGGAAAATATAATAAAGAAAAGGTATTCTTTCAATATTCATAAAATTTAATTGTTTTTTTCTTCTCACAACTAGTTAATTATTATTTCTATCGACGGTAGTCGATGCAGCTGTAAAACAGAATCTGGTCAGATAATCGAAGGTATTTTTTTAAACAAAGCATATTTTATTACTTTTTAATGTGATGCTTTTTGTAGATCTTCCTATAAAGTATTTACAAACAATTATACCGCATGAAATGAATTCAGTTTTAATGATTGTAAACGGAGAAAGAAGTGGTCAGGTACGTAGTGTTCTTCATATTCTTTTTATCACTTATCTTTCATAATTTAGCATAGAAAATCCGTTCATTATGTAATGTTTATCGGTTATTGTTATTTGATTTTTGCTCTTGGTTAAACTAAATATACAAAGCTACCATAAATTATTGCTATAGGCCGTCTACCCAAGCACAATTTTCTAACCGGTAAGCTGAGATCTTGTGGCTGACTGGTTCTATCTTCACTTCGATTGAATATTATATATTTCAATGCTCATTCGTAGAGGATGAATTTTATAATTTTCGTAACCGTGCATTATTCACCAGGTACAATAGAAATGTTACAAATAGTCCGAAATAAATCCTATTTTACTGTAACATAGTATTGTTATAACAATTTCTTAATCCTTCCAGTAGTTTGTTTTTTTTAACTATCCATCCGCCACTAAGAAACTTACTTACGCCTGTTACCCCTCGTGGAGGAGCATAGGCCGCCCACCAGCACTGTTCATCCAACCCTGTCCTAGGCAATCCTCTCCAGCTGCTATATCCTATTCATGTCTGCTTCCAATTCCTGACATTGTGTGTTCGGCCTTTCTCTTTTCCGTTTCCCTTCAGGATTCCATGTTAGCGCTTGCCTCGTGATGCAGTTTGGTGATTTGCGTAATCTATGTCCTATCCACTTCCAACGTCTTTGATGATGGTTGTAGCAGTTCTCCACGTTTCACCTTCATGCAGTAGGACTATTTTGACGTTCGTATTGAAGATCGTGACGTTTAAATTTGTTTGGCAGTTGTTTTGAGTTCCATATGTTCTTCAATTGTACTAATGCGGCCCTTGCTTTGCCAATCCTCGTCTTTACGTCTACATCCGATCCTCCTTGTTCATCGATGATACTTCCCAAGTACGTGAAAGATTTCACATCTTCCAGAGCTTCTCCATCAAGTGTGATTGTGTTGGCGTTCTCCGTGTTGTATTTGAGGATTTCGCTTTTCTCTTGTGTATGTTGAGGCCTACTGGTGCAAAGACTGCTGCTACACTAGTTGTCTTCATCTGCATTTGTTCGTGTGTATAAGATAAAAGGGCCAGTTCATCTGCGAAGTCCAAATCGTATAGTTGCATTAAACCTGTCCACTATATTCCGTACTTCCAGTGAAAAGTGGAGGTCCTCATAATCCAGTCGACCACCAGAAGAAAGAGGAAGGGAGAGAATAAACAGCCTTGTCTGACTCCGATTCTCTCTTGGAATGCGTCTGTCAGCTGTCCTCCATGCACGACTTTGCATTGTAGTCCGTCGTATGAGTTCCGGATAATATTGACAATCTTCTGAGGAACTCCGTAGTGTCGAAGAAGTTTCCATAACGTCCTCCTATCCACACTGTCAAATGCCTTTTCATAATCAATGAAGTTGATGTATAGTGACGAGTTCCACTCAACTGATTGTTCGACGATGATCCGTAGTGTTGCGATGTGAGCTGTGCACGACCTGTCCTTACGGAATCCAGCTTGTTGATCACGAAGTTGGGCGTCTACTGCATCTTTCATCTGGTTCAGCAACACTCTGTTGAAGACCTTCCCTGGTATTGACAGTAGTGTAATGCCTCTGTAGTTCTCACATTTGCTCAGATCTCCTTTCTTTGGAATCTTGACGAGGTGTCCTTCTTTCCAGTCCATCGGCACTTGTTCTTCCTTTCGAATCTTCCTGATTAGCATGTAGATGATATCACTAGGCTTCATACCAACAGTGTGCTTTTAAGACCTAGCACACTAAATTTTACTTCGTAGAGGAGTTCAATTATTATGACAGGTCTATAATCTATAACGAATATTTCATAGGAATTAGGTTTATTAGGGAGTATTATATTTTGTCAAACATATATCTAAATCAGTGTATATGTCTACACCTCATCTGTCCTTTTAGACTATACTTGTGTATTTCTTTCCAGAGCAAGACTAGAAAATCTTAGAAAACTTTAATTCAGTAAATTATTTGTTGACTTTAACGGACGTTTTACGATAATTCGGTTACGAAATTTTGTGATCTTCAGTCCTATTGTTACCAAAATTCGAATAAGTATGCTTACAGTTCAAGAATGTATTAGTGTCCATACTAACTCAGCTAGGGACTTGTAGGAAAGCGATCTTGGCCTAGGTAAATAACTCACTCCCAACAAACACTGTCCACACTTTTGTTTTATCGTGTAACCCGTCTAAATTTGTTAAACACATCATAGATTATTACTCTACGCTATTTATTGCTTAAGTTTATTTGCAAGTCTACCAATATCCATATTGCGTATTTCTTGTTTCATATCACAAAGTCATATTCATTTAAATGACAACTATTCTGAAATTCCTCAATTCAATCATGGTCATTAACATTGTTACAGTATTTCATTAAATTAATCAACAGTGTAGTGATAACCATTATTCTAAGTACACTTGTTAATCATCAGCATAAACTTTGCTACGTCAATACTTTAAAACACCTTACATGTAAGAAATGATTATCTCCATAGTCATAAATACCACTTGACTTTGATCGTTTCTATTTATTATAAGACCAACTAACAGTACCGGATGACCCAAACTAAAACAAATGGAGTGGAGTTCAAACTTACAACCTACTCATTAAAAACTAAGTGTTTCGCTTACTAATTCACCGTTGGATGTAAATAATAATGCTTAGGAGAATTGTTGTATAGCAAAACATCTATAAAGTATCAATAACTGTCTAATCATTTTTTCCATTTCCTTCCTTTTTGAATAGCTTGCACGATTAATTAGACGTGATAGTCGTAACCAATTAGTGGATGTAAAAACTCGATCTGGAATCCCTTTGCAATATCATTTCGATTGTGTATGTGCCATACATGATCCATTCGGGAATTGATAGAAAAAAATAATTTACGACATTCTTGAATATTTGGAATTTTTGTAAATAGTATTTTTTTTACTTATTTACATAAAAAAAATAAAAAGATCATCTGAAAAATTAGAAATGTCTATTCCTAATTTTTTCTCATTTTACAGTTTAGTTTTTCTAAAGCTACTGTTGAATAAAAAAAACTTAATTCTCAGATCATATAATTGTGTTTAATTGACAAACTTGGGTAAAATCATGTACTCACTAATTACTAGCTTCGAGAGGTAATTCTCGGAGTTCTAATGAGAAACCACATCCAATAAGGTTAATCCGTGTCGGGGCATTTACCTACCGAAGGAAATAGAAGATGGTCGCACAATATCGTGGAGTAGTTGAAGTTAGACTTCAGTGGTCCAGAGGTTAAGTGTTGGTGCGCGAGACCAAATATCCTGGGTTTGAATTTTGCGTGTGGGATCGTGGGTGCGCACTGCTCACTAGTTCCATACTAGGACGAAGCAATCGTCCAGTGCTTCCAGGTTTTCATTGGTAGTTTAAAATTGATCGGTTCATGATCTCAGTTAAAAGTAACCTTAGGAATTTAATATCGTCTATTAGCTAAAGCGAATCAATAAATTACGAAGTTTCTCAGATAGTGTGTCAGTGTAACAAAGACAATAGCGTGATTAGACATTTATGCAAATTAATAAACATTAAAGTAATATTAGGTAATGAAATTCTTCCTGCCCTCCAAAAGGAAAGTAAATGGATTTAAATTATGAACTCATAAATTTAAGAAGTTATTGCTGATAAGTCGATGTAACCATTTGACGATTAAAACTGGATGATCTGTGATCGTTAGATTTATGCAATCATTATGAATTCTCTAAGTCTATACATTGCTTGAGATATATGGCAATTTTAGGTAATGAACAGCTTTTGTATGCAGAATATAGTTCAACACATATAAGCGAACAATTGTTTTCAATTAGATCGTCATCAGGCTTTACTCTAATAAACATGGATATTTATACGAAAATTTTTAAACCAATCAAGGCAATATGAGTCAATAATCACAATGAAATAGAATAAGTCATTGTGATTATTGACTCATATTGCCTTGATTGGTTTAAAATTTTCGTATAAATATCCATGTTTATTAGAGTAAAGCCTGATGACGATCTAATTGAAAACAATTGTTCGCTTATATGTGTTGTTCTAATTTTCACAATGGGAATCTTTAATAGAATATAGTTCGAATATACGACTTATTGCATATTAATGACGGCTGTACAGTCTAATATACCTGCATTTTACGTCGAAATTTCGGGTAGTTCCGCATTATGCAAGCGATGATATACAGAGACATAGATTAACCAAACACATGAAAACTTTTAATCGAACAATTTAAGTAAGTGTTTGATCAAGTTGTCTATTGACTCCAATTAGTAAACCTAAATCTACTGGGCAGAAGGTAGAGTGGATGTAAATGTTCTAGAAATACCCGTTGAGATTTTATTAAATCATCCATCCAACTACACAGAACGACAGAATTCTTCTGTGACCTTAGTTCGTGAACTTGTGTTTTCTTAGCCACCGTTTATTTCAGTTACTCAAGTGAATGGATTTATAAGGCTTTGATTTCAAATTCATGACTATTTCTGCAGTAATTTCCTTATAGCCTATAAAAAGACTGGTATCTTCATTCACTAAAGTTTCAAGATAATTTCAGATATCGACTATTTATACAACCTGGAACATCTAGTTGATCATTCTCCTACTACTGAATGGCTTTGTTGTCCGTCTCACACATCAATGCGCTCGTTTATTACATAGATTGAATCAATAAGACAAAAGTAAAATGTGACAAGCAAAAAGCTTGGTAAAAAACATATACTTTATAACTAAATTTATTAAAAACTAATATATCTACAGAAACATGCCCATTGTAAGTGACTGACATTGTATAAATGTTCACTGGTAAATTATGCCATATACTAATTGTAATTAGTATTAATCTAATGATGAGGGGTATTCCCGTCTCAAAAAAGTGTTTTCGTTTTGGACATTATGATGCTTAGTATGATAATAAAAGCATCGTACTTAAATCATCTAACTTGAAGAATACTACACTACCAAAAGTAGTAAGCGTAGCATTGTAGAATAATGTCTCAATCTTTTATAGCATGCACCCTAGTAGAAACTAAGGGTTTTATAAGATAATGATCAAACTCACTGTTTATTTTGACTGGAAAATAATGAATTTTAAGATCCTTCATTTAGTTGGTGAATAAACAAAATTGCGAAGAACCCCGAAAGGAATCCATTTGCAGTTATACATTTTCCTTCTAACCAATATAAAGTGATACTTCATGTATGGTATGCATCGACTGGTAGTATGACAGTAGAAAGTGCATTTTGTGAATTCTTTTGGACACTCCATTTATTTCGGAGAGTTACATCATTCTTAGATGCTTGGTGAGTAGCACAATTTCGTAATAAATATGGAGAGCTTGACGATTTTTAAACCACCTAACTTGTGATACAACTGATATTATGTTCACTAATCGTCCATGCATGTACGAATGAACTTATTGTAATCTGATTCTAAAAGACAAAATGACTCTGATAATTGGGGATATAAATACGATGTGTAAAATACATAACTATTACAAATATACAAAACTGTAAATACTTAGTTATCTACTCATACACACACGAAAAGTCGTTATTTTCATTGGCTTCAGGTAATGATATCAAGCAATAAATAATCAGCTGATTATTGTATATTACATTAAATTACACTGATTTTCAAACAAACGTAATTTCCAAGTCTCCTTGTAGTTTCCTAATGAAACTCTCTTTCGTCTGCTTTGTGGGATGTGTTGGAAATTTCATTGAATCACTATAAACTAGCTGTTTTTGTTCTGGAAAACATCTAACAATGACTGTCTGATTGTCAACACATACGTCACTTATGTTGCTTTTTAAATACGACGATCACAAAAGCTATAGAGTTATAACTTAACAAATGAGATGCTATGACTACTTGATATAAGTGGACGAAGAGTGATACGGCTCGATACATGGAATATGGTAGGTCTTCAGATGAAAAATTTGTCATTCACCAACAACAGATCTAAAAGTAAACAAAACTAAATCGAAACTAGCCCCATTATCGACAGTTATAACATGTGATGATATCGCTGTTTCGTCCTGCTACGATAACCAATCACAATGGAGACATTAACAGTGAATTACAAACACCCTAGTTCAACAATTAGAACCCAGACGTTATCGTGCAGAACCATGATCCTGATTACAATCCCGAAATTCTAATATTAAAAAAATACTTTAAAAAACGCACCACAGTGAACTATTTCAATTAAGTATAAAACAGTGTTACAAAATTGTCCTACAAATCCTTAATATCAGAATGGAGATTTGTGGTAATTTTAATAGTTGAATTCATGAGTTGAATAAAACCAGACCATTATGGCAAACCTGGAAGCACTGGGTGGCCGTTTCGTCCTAGTACGGAACTCTTCAGTAGTGCATAACCACGAGGGTTATATAAAGCAGTTTGAAGAACAAGGATTATGATTTACAGTTGATAATTAGGGCTAGAGATTAGATTTAGGATTTTCATCACGAATTGACATCAGTTATAATGCCAAGACTTTATTTAGCCAAATGCATGAATGAATTTCGTGTCCAAATCTAAGACCTGTTATGGTAAATCTGATTGATTCGTTCATAAATTATCGTCTCACTGAAGTATCGTTTATGCACAAACAAATGGAACAAACTATAATGAAATAGTGGTAAGTAAATGCAACTTAACAAATTTCATCAAATGCACTTTTTAAATAATCCAAAATAACTGAACGCAGTCATAATTGATTCATTATTTTAATAAAGAAATGAATTATCTTTGAAAAATCTTCAATATTTGTAATTAACATAATGATCTTTATCATATATAGAATTATATACCCCATTCATACAATAATTCATCTATGATGGATAGTGGCTAGCAGTGGAATCCAGGACGAAATGCGCGTTTCGTCCTGGATTCCACTGCTAGCCACTATCCATCATTGCTTACAAATAGCTTGTAAATCAAGGTAACATTGAGACATACGCATAGTATGCCAATAACAGTCTGATCAATTGCAGTCTTAAACCTCAATGGGAAAATACAAGCCAAACAATACCAAGTGAATAATTTATCTACATTTAAAATCATCCCCAATGATTCCCAATGATCCTATAATTGACCTCTTATAATTAAATATTTTTAATCAAATCATTATTTATTTTACTACATATATATTTAACCTTGTAATAAGTCTTAACTTATTAACCAATCAAATTACAGAATTTATTGATTTAGTCAAGGTTAAATTATAATTATCCTTTAAAATTCTGTAAAAAGAACAATAATTATTTGTTAAATCAATTTTCTATTGGATCTACTAAATTTTATTGTTTTAAAAGGGAAATTTAAAAATGACTGATTTTAATGATTTAAAATTATTAAATAAGAAATTAAATTGTGAATTAGTTAACATGAAGAAGAAGAAGAAAATCTATCAATCAAAAGTAAGTGGATAATAATAAATTGTATCAAGTCTATCAATTCATAATTAGCTTAGTCTTAAAAAGGGAATTAATTATTCATACTTTATCCTCTTTGCGATAATTAGTTATTTTCCAAATAGATTATCTTTACGATTATTATGATGGTAATATGAAAGCTGCCCAGGATAGGGTTGGATGGAGAGTGCTGATGGGCAACCTATGCTCGTTCACGAAAAGTAATGGAAGTAAATAAATAAATAAATCTGAAAGCCAATAGACTTGAATCTACGTGCTCCATCAAGTCTTTTTCAGATTTAGCTATCTCTCTCGCTCTTATATTACAAAAAGAGTCGGTCTTTTTGTATTGGATTTTTAAAAAATTCACAAAAATTTAAGAAATCACGATCATTATCTTGTGAAGAATCACTTGAATTAGTAAAGAATATGAAAAGTTGTATCATATACACTAATTGTCGGTACAATCTTCTGACTGTAACAATGAAATCAATACATGATTTACCATATTCGATAAAAAGATTTATAATGAAGTATTTCTATTGAGATAATCAACTAATTGATGTTAAACCACCAATGAAAACCTTGAAGCACTGGACCGCCGTTTCATCCTATTGTGAAAC